TTGCCATTGGCACATTATTTTGCTTGCAGATGCCAATGCCCGTGTGGGAGCGGAACCCAGTGCACATGTTGGTGACCACCAAGCAGAAGTCCTTGATCCTAAGGCAGAGGGGTTTTTAGACTTCTTGGCTAGACATGGCTTGTGGGTACCAGCTACCTTCTCTGCATCGCACTCTGGTCTTGGCGCAACATGGCGCCATTCACGAGGACATTGGTTTCGCAATGATTATGTTTGCATCCCTTCTGAGTGGCAACTTTTGACTTGCCGCTCTTGGGTCAGTGAAGACATCGACGTTGGCCTGATTAAAGAGGATCACAGAGCTGCTGTGCTTCATATCTGTCGCCAACTCGTCCCTCTTGGGTCCCTGCGACCCTCAAAGCAACCCAAACTGACCCTTGACCATATTCAACCGGAGAGTCTCCATGGGGTTGAACGCCCGTGTTGGCAGATTGATGTCCATACTCATGCTGCTGTACTTCAGGAATCGCTAGTTAACAACTTGTGGTCTTGTCAAACCTTGCCAGTACGTAAGCCACTCAAAAAGACAATGTCTGACTTGACATGGACTCTAGTGAAAGAAAAGCGGGCTTGTAGGAATCTCTTGCATGAACGCTCTCGAGTCCAGAAACTTACATTGTTGCAGGCGTGGTTTTCTTGCTGGAAGCATGCTGCTCATGACTGTCCACTTACCGACGTGCATTCTGCATTTGATGATTTAATTTGTGAACAAGACCGACTGATTGCAATTGGGTATTGGCACTTCAGGAACCTTGGCGCCCGAGTTACCAAGGCTATCAGAGCTGATGATGTTCAATTTTATACCTCTTTGTTATCAGACTGCCAAGACTTTCTCGCACCAGCAGACGCTAAACGCCTCTGGGGCGTTGTTCGCAGATCATTGCCTAAGTTTCAGCAGCGGAAGATCAATACAGCGCCTTTCCAGCTTGCGCTCCTTGATGAGCAGTGGCTTCCACATTATGAAGAGCTTGAGACGGGCGTTGAGACGTCGCCTCTTCAGTTGGTCAAAGATTGTGCCTTCCAACAAGCACTCCGCAGGCTGGATGCCCCCCTGTCTCTTCGGATCGCTGACTTACCGAGCCTGACACAGCTTGAACATGAGTTTCGTTCGGTACCAGCGGGGAAGGCCTCCGGCTATGACCCACTCCCATCGGCCATGTTTCATCAAGTTTCGTCTCCTCTTGCTGCTATTTACCATGACTTGATCGTCAAGGAGTTTATTTGGCAGAGTGAGCCTATTCAAGCCAAAGGCGGTCCTGTAGCTATTTTACCAAAGACGCCTCATCCAACCACGGCGAAGCAATTCCGTGGGATTTTGCTCCTTCCTAATGCTGGGAAGAGAGCGCATGCACTTTTGAGGAGTCATATTATGCGTGCCCTTGCCCCTGTGCGCCCACCAGGGCAGCTGGGAGGATTCCCAGGTCAGCAGGTAATGTTTGGTTCGCAAGCATTGAGGGTGTTTGGCAGTATTTGTGATAGCCAGGGCCTTAGTAGTGGCATCCTTTTTCTGGATCTATCGAGCGCTTTCCATCATCTCATACGTGAGACTGTCGTTGGATCAGCTGATGGGGCCAACTTAGATCCTGTTTTGAAAGTGCTGCAACAAGGAGGCAACCCTGTTGACAAGTATCGCTCCTTTTTGCGATTGCCTGGAATTTTGGCAGAGCTGGGAGTAGCCGAACCAATTGTACGTTTGCTACGGGACATCCACATTAGCACATGGTGTACCTTGCATGACCACTGGCTGCTGAGGACACACCGCGGCACACGGCCAGGTAGCCCGCTTGCAGATATCATTTTTCATGCATTGATGGCAAAGGTTGCAGCCGCTATTGATCACTGGCTCCAACAGCAAACCAGCTTTGTCGCTCTGCTTGAAGATCTGGACATTGCTGTCCCTACTGTAGTGTGGGCCGACGACATTGCGGTACCTTTGGCTTCCAAGTCAGCCAGTGAGGTTGTACCCTTTCTGCAGCGCACGCTTACTCAGATTCGCTCGATCCTTCAAGGTTACGGTTTTGCACTCAATTTCGCTAAAGGGAAGACTGGTGCCGTTTTGACGCTGACAGGGCCAGGTGCCGGAGAACTTAGGAAGCAATACCTTCTGAATGCACGACCTGGGGTACTGTGTCAGTTTGAGGATGGTGCTTCTGAATGGTTGCATTTCACGTCCGCCTACCGCCACCTTGGCACACAATTTACCTCCAGACATGATCTTGCATGTGAACTCCGTGCACGAGTCGGCATTGCTAAGTCAACCTTTGCGCAGTTGGCCAAACCTATCCTTGCCAATAAGTATATGCCTGTGCACCTGAGACTTCAGTTCTTTCATTCTCTTGTTGCAACTCGGTTGTTCTTTGGCCTAGGCTCTTGGCCCACACCTACGCCGAAACAGCTGCAGTACCTTCAGAGTGCTTTGATTCAACAGCTTAGACGTGTTCTTCGCATTGGACATTTACACTTGCCTGCCGACCAAATCTTTACGTTAGCAAATTCTGCTGAAGTGCGTGTGAAGTTGGCTGTTGAACGTCTCCTTTATGCTCAGCGCCTTTTTCGCACCGGGCCGCAGTTCCTCCACCACTTGCTTCACCGTGAGTTTGATTGTGTTGAAGGCTCATGGATGCACGGTCTTCGTGCAGATTTAGCTTGGATGGAGGCAGTTATTCCGAACTGTTTGCCCCCCCGTTGGGAGTCAGACCTTACAGCTCTGTTTGATATGTGGCAAGACCCGTGCAGCAAATGGCCTAGCCTTGTCAAAAGGTGCTTGAAGTTGCACCTCATCCAGAATGCTATTATGTCTGACGCCAAGAAACTGCATGGCACAGTATTCCGCACGCTGCGATTGGCTGGGGCTTCATTTGATCAGATGGGTGACTTTGCAGCACCGCTTGACGACCTCTTTACCTGCTTTTGTGGGCGCACCTTTGACACAAGGAGAGGCTTGTTAGCACACCAACGGAAGTCACACCAGATTTTCTCAGCTGAACGTCCTTTCTTGCAAGGATGTACCTGCCTTCATTGCGGCAAATTTCTTTGGTCTACGCAGAGGCTGCAGCAACACCTTGCGTTCATTCCGAAACGCATTGGCTACAATCCCTGTTTTGCTGCCTTGTCTTCGCAAGGCCGCCAGGTTGAATATGCCAAAGTTGATGAAGGCATGCTGCCGCAGGTTGCGGGTCTGCAGCGCCGTGATGCGTTGCAAGTTGAAGGCCCACAGGTGTGCCCATTGACTTTGAAGGACCACCAGCGTATGCAACTTCAGGCTGAACTTGCGGCTTGCCATGATAGATTGCATATCCCTTGCGTCCCTGCGGATGAGCTTAGAACTGGGGAAGCACTTGGTGTGGCTCTTGAGGAAGCGACCTTAAGCTGGTTTCGGGCTTTCTACCCACAGGGCCCCAATGTAGAGGGAAAGTCACAGTTAACTGATGCATGGATTGACGTGTTATATTCCTGCCCGGCGGCCTTTGAATGCAATCTAGACCCATGGTTGGAACGTGTTTTTCTTCTGTGGGGAGAGCATTGGCTGCCAGATGTTGTTGATACTTTTGAAGATGGGGTGGCTGAGTATGACGTCGATGAGATCTTTGCAGAGTTTGCTTCGCAATTGGAACGATATCAATTGTTAGCGAGAATCGCCCATCTCGAAGCTGGAATCCTCACCTGTGCCCAGGTGGCTCCTTTGCCCCATCGGGCTAACCGCATGCCTAGTGATCCTATCAAACACCCGAAGATTTGCAGCCGCTCCCAGCAAACTGTAGTGCGAGCCTTTGCTGAACAAGTACCTTGGTTGCGCCAGATCCGCAGTCTGACATTTTTAGATTTGCCTGAAGCGAGACCTGTGCCCAAGCTGACGATGCCTGATGGACAGTTGGTTTACCTTGTTTTGCATTTGTTCAGTGGAAGACGCCGAGAAGGTGATGTTCATGCGCAGCTACATACATTTGCTGCTTCTAGGGGCATTTCCCTTGTTGTGCTCTCCGTCGACACTGCAGTGTCGCTGGAGTTTGGCAACCTTGCCCTAGGTTCCCCTTCCTGGAAAGCCATTTTACAGTTGTATGAGGCGGGAGTTGTTGCTGCGACCCTTGTGGGGTCTCCGTGTGAGACGTTCAGTGAGGCACGATTTTATGTGGCTCCGGACGCCGATCCTGCACATCCAGGTCCTCGGCCACTGCGCTCAGCCGAGCGCCTGCTTGGTGTTGAAGGACTCACAGCTAAGGAGCTCAAGCAGTGTCATATTGGAGGAAATTTTTCCAACAGGCTGCGATCGCCCTGGGACACCACATGACTCAGGGAGGATGTTTTGTTTCAGAACATCCGGCCAAACCCCACGACCCAAGCCGTCCAAGTATCTGGACAAGTTCCCTCTTGGAAGTGTTGCTTCAGCACCCGGATGCTCGATTAGCACACGTGAGCCAATTCCATTGGGGAGCCACTGTGGTTAAGCCTACTGGTCTTTTACACTTCCAGATGCCTCGCTTTTGTCGCGATCTCTACATGCATGCCGATTTGACGACGGCCCGGCCCAGCAATGTCGCTATCGGCAGAGACGCCAATGGAGTGTACAGGACGGCGCAACATAAGGAGTATCCTTCCCAATTTTGTAAAGGACTTGCTTACACGATTGTACAACAATTAGCCTGTTGCGAGCGTCAACGGCTTTTTCGTGAAGCATCTCCGATCACGGCCGATCTATTTCGGTGGCTCCAGGGAGCTGAGCGAGCTAGCTCGATTCTCCAAAGAGAGACCTGGTTGCCTGACTTCCAAAGGTTGCCGTGATCACATTTTCCCTAATTCATAATTCGAGAATCTGCAAGAGCAGCAAAGGCCTGGACCTTTTCATGCAGTGAAAGTGAAAAGTGAAAAGTATGTGAAGTATAACCCTTTGACTCCTTTGAAAACTTCTTACAGAGTATCAGTATATAGATCAGCATATCTTCTTAAATAATCTTAAATACACGGAAAGAGAACTGCCGAGGTTCCGAATATCTTTGCCCTGCAGTTGTTCCAGGGCCGTTTTCACTTCGCCTTGCGCCTTGTCGGCGTCGCGGCTGGTTTTGAGCTCGGCCAGCGCCATGCGCCGCACCAGCTCCAGGTCCTCGGGCGCCGGCCCCGCGTGCTGCGCGATGGCCAGGGCGGCGTCGGTGGCGAAGGACGACACGCTGTCCGAGAAGGCTTGGAAGGACAGGCGCATCCCGGCCTCACATGTCAGGAGAGATGGAACCTATGGATGTGAACTATTGGAAAGCTCATGAAGGGGATCGAATTGAAGCAGAGTTCTATGGTGATTTAATACATCTTTTTTTGTTTCATACATCTAGTCTAGTCCAAGATTCTGTTCAAAGCATTCTGGAAGCATGTGGAGTTTAGCATCGGAGATGGCGATGCATCAACAAAAAATGGGGATAAAGTCGAAAAACACTGTTGATCACTGTTGTGTAACCAAGTGTACTCCAAAACTCCAAAAAAAGAGTGGGTCCTCCAGCTCTCCAGCCTCGTAGGGCGAAGTGGTGAAAAAGGCACACTCCCAGCGACAGCCTGCCAAAGCAGCTCCAAAGAACGGACTTTCCAAAGCGACCTGCAGGGATTTCAGCCACATTCGTCCAGCAGCTCGAGATTTCACGGAGGCTTCCGTGATGCAGCGGGCAGGCAGCCACAGGGTCAAAGTCACTACCGGTTCCTCGCCCAGGGGCTCCACACGCTCGTTGAACTGGCCCGACACATAGACGCAACCTTCCGACGGCAACAGTCAACCCACTAAGCCACAACTAAAACTTCCAAAAAACATAAGGAAACATAAGAAACATACCAGCAGCATGCCAGCAACATACCGCTCCAGTTCATCTCCAAGGCACCAGGAACGACCCACAAAGCAGGTGGCACCACCGAAGGCATTGACTTAAGGGTCTTTGGCTCCACCAACCGGGCACGACAGGCTTCGGACCACAAGACTCCATTGAAGCCTGGCCAGCGGCCCAGCGGGTGACTGAAAATTTTCAATGTGAATCGTCGGCGGTATTAGACATATTAGACAATCAAATCAGTGAACAAGTTCTAACAAGTTCCACTTTTACATTCTTGTTATTTTTCCGGAAGGCGCTCCTTTCTTGTTCTTGATGGACTCAGGGATCAGGGGATCTGCTTCAGCTGCGGGTTTGGTGATCTTGGTCGCCTTGGACAAATAGACGTTCAACGGGGGCGCACGCCACCACTGGGCTGCTACATCTGGGGTGTCCAGCCAGGTGCGTTGAAGCGATGAATCCAGCGGCAGTTCACCGAATTCCAAATCCAGGTTGGAATCACGTCGCTGTTGAGCACCAGGTTGTGGTACTGTACTCCAAAGGGTCAAACGTGCACGATCTGGCACCAAGCATTCTAAGACTTTGGCAACTTCAGTGGTTGCTTCCTCTTGGGCCAGGGTGCTGGTAAAACGCGCTGCTCGGCCTTGCAGAGCATTCGGCACCTTCTCCTTGTCCCACTCCCGGACGGCGAAAAAACGCCGTGACGCAAACACATAGGCTGCGGGCCGCGGTGCCGATCGCATGTCCACAGCCAGTTCGCTAGAGAGTGGCGGTCTTGGTGGGAAACGCCAAGCAATGTCTGCCAGTGCTGAAACCTCCAGGCGCAGGAAAGGAGCTCAGCTTTCAGAAGTGGTTGATGGATCTTGATGGATGATGGTGGAATCTTCTGACTGTTCATTACACGAAGTGCTTTCTTAGTCTCAGATGATTAAACCAATGTACCGCATATAAAGCTTAAGCAAATGGAAATTCCTCGATAAAACATCTGGAACCACAGACAAGTGGAAATTCCTGCAGTGTCACCTTGTCTGATTGTATCTGGAGCCGAGGCATTCAATCATGCATCGCCAAATGCAAAGATCAAACTGGAATCAAATTGGTTCGCCAACAACTTCCAGCAATTGCGTAACTACATCAACTACGAACCAACAGCGACTATGGCCATCCGGTTTCCCCAGGCATCAACCAGCCATGGTGGCGCCTCATCCACCGCCTGCCGCAAGGCATCGCGTTGCGGGCCGCCCTGGGCGTCGCGGACGTAGCGCCGGCGCCGTAGTGCAGCCAGGAGACCGGAGACAGCGGTGGCCACAGAGCTCCAGTTCTGAAGACCTGGCCCATGGGGCCCATGGCCAGAGGTTGAAGTTGAACTTTGAAGTTGGTTCCAATATGGTTCCAATATGGTTCCAATATGGCTCCAAGGGTTCCAAAGAAAACTCAAGTCAAGGTTCAAGATTACGCCCCAACTGTTGGGGAACACATTGCAGTTCGCCAGGCTCAATATCGGTTTGAGCCTGACTTTCCATATTACCATAGAACGGTCCATCATGAATCATGTTGGAAGTGAAACAAAAGGCTCACACCTTGCTGAGACAGCTTGATCTTCAACTCCCAAATCGCAAAGCTCTGGGTGCTGAAGGGCGCTTGGGCCGTGACTTTGGGCCCCAAGTTGTCGGGCAACCAGCCCTGCTTCTGCAGCCAACAAGACAAAGATCCAGGGCCCTGGTGCGCCACCAGGTGGGCCAAGGCCACCAAAGGTTTGGATGCACGGTAGGAGGCGGCATCTATACCTCCGTTTGGGATCAACAAGCAGCAAAAACATGTAAAAAAACTAAATCTGACGGTTTTTTTGGACCATCATCACCCTTCATTTGTCCTCAATGGCATATTCCCAAATCCAAATGAAAAAGGTGTTGACCACAAGGATTAATCACCCAGACACCAGAGGTGGCTGAAAATGGGATGCTCCAGGTGAAGCTGATCCCAGGATTCTCCCGCGATTGGACCACGAAGCACGGTGGCACCTGCCCGGTGCTCGGCAACGGATCCGCCATGGCCGCCAGGCGGCGCCCGGGCCACGTCACCGGAGGGGCCACAGCATTGAGGCCTTGGAAGGCGTCGGCCACGGCCGGGCGAAGCTTGCTGCTGGGCAGCGGGGAGACGATGGCCAACGTGGACTGCTCCGCCAACATGTGGGAAAAAAGTTCTTGGCTCAAACGAGCCAAGGCCTCTAATTCCTGCACCAGCTTGGCATTGGTGGAGGGTTTTTGCTGAAGCACAGATGATCTCCAAGTGATGGCATCAGATGTTCTGTGGCTGTGGCAATGTCTTTTAACCTCTACCAGATCCATAAATGCGAAAACAGGTACATATCTTACATATCCCATAAGCTGCCATAAACATCTCCAAACACGAATGCCACTTGCCTTTTCCAGCACCTCGCCTGTTTTCCATTGCCCCTGGGCAGCAGCGTCTTCAAACTCCCAGGTCCGAAGGATCTCAAGGGATGGTCCTCCACCGTACGGTAGCGCAAGAGCTGCAAACTCCTGCCGCGGAACGGCAACGGCAGCGTGTCACCAACAATCTACAGTGAGTCCTAACCAATGGGGAAAATCAAACAAGAATAGTGGGGTATAAAACAACACTTGGGAATGCACAGCGACAAACATGCAAAAACAACGAACCACTGATTCGGTGGTGCTTTGGGTTAGTCGTTTGGATTTATGGAGTCCAACCATGGATTCCATTATAAATTCTGTTGACTTCCCTGCGTGCCGGGCGGCCCCCCCAAGTTCCACAGGGTCAAAAATACCTCGAAGACCCAGTACCAAAACCATCCAAAGACGACAACCTCCACACAACAACCACCCATCATCCACCGTTACCCCGTTCCCACCGCTGCTTTCTGTTACGCCCATCTCCTGAGCCCTGCAGAGAGGCCATCCTGGAATTCCCCGTTGATGCGCAGCACCTCTCTATGCACCGCCTCAGCGCGGAAACGCGAGTCCGTGTCGGCCATGTCGGTGCGGCGGAAGCAGTGGCCAAACCGCCGCAGGGCATCCGACCAGTCCTCGAAGGGCGAAACCGGGGAGCACATTTTCCTCATCTCATATTAATTACTTGGATAGATCATTTCATTGTGAGAGGGCTTGCTGGTGATATACCCCACAACCATTGACTTGTTCTAAAGGTATCTGCAAACCTGTCAAGAGCAGCATTCTTTTCTGGCAGTCGTACGATTCAACGATAACATTTCCACCTTCGAAACAGGACACCTTCAATTGCAGTACAGAGACGGTGCCTCCAGCATGGTTTCAATTTCGGAAAAGAAACTCCAGCAGAAACTTCTGCTCCCTATGAAAATTATGGGAAAACGAAAAGATTCTCACTGCTCATCATTATGTTCCTGAGAGAATGCCATACCGGGCCTCAAACCCTCCATTTCCATTGTTCACTTAGAGACTTAAAGTTATACAAGCCCTTACTTTAATTTATATACTTTTTATATTCAAATTATTCACCTCCGCATTTTTGGCTGGAGAACTTCCCAGCATTTCCCGGTCGGTCCTCCACCCCACAGGACAGCGTAAAGAGGGCCGACTCGAAGCCGGTGAAACCGTTGGACTGGCCGGAGCGGGGCTCCAGCCAGGTCTCCAACTGCCAGCGTCATTGGATATGTGGGTTATGTATGTTTTTTTTTTAAAATATGGTTTATATATGGAGTTGTATGGGGTTATATAAAGTTATATGGAGTTGTATGGGGTTATATAAAGTTATATGGAGTTGTATGGGGTTATATGAAGTTATATGGAGTTGTATGGGGTTATATAAAGTTATATGGAGTTGTATGGGGTTATATAAAGTTATATGGAGTTGTATGGGGTTATATAAAGTTATATGGAGTTGTATGGGGTTATATGAAGTTATATGGAGTTGTATGGGGTTATATGAAGTTATATGGAGTTATATGGGGTTATATAAAGTTATATGGAGTTGTATGGGGTTATATAAAGTTATATGGAGTTGTATGGGGTTATATGAAGTTATATGGAGTTGTATGGGGTTATATGAAGTTATATGGAGTTGTATGGGGTTATATAAAGTTATATGGAGTTGTATGGGGTTATATAAAGTTATATGGAGTTGTATGGGGTTATATAAAGTTATATGGAGTTGTATGGGGTTATATAAAGTTATATGGAGTTGTATGGGGTTATATGAAGTTATATGGAGTTGTATGGGGTTATATAAAGTTATATGGAGTTGTATGGGGTTATATGAAGTTATATGGAGTTGTATGGGGTTATAT